CAGATGTATTTAGATACCTACTCGACCAGTTCAGATGTATTTAGATACCTACTCGACCAGTTCAGATGTACTTAGATACGTACTCTACCAGTTTAGATGTATTTAGATACCTACTCTACCAGTTTAGATGTATTTCTGTATTGTATATGCCCTTTTTTTTTTTAAAGAAAATAAGTTTCAAGCAAGTTAACGTTATAAGAATAGTTTTAATTGATTGGTCGTGCTCTGAGAATAACTTAAAGACAAGCGAAGCAAGAGTGAAAAAGAAAATACATATTAATGTATGGTGTAGTTTTTGATGAAAAACATCGATTACAAGGTAATTTTTGTGCCATATATTTTCAAAGTTTTGACCCAATGAAGTGAAAAAGAAAATACATATTAATGTATGGTGTAGTTTTTGATGAAAAACATCGATTACGAGGTAATTTTTTTGCCATATATTTTCAAAGTTTTGACCCAATGAAGTGAAAAAGGAAGATTAAGTTACAAATATTAAACTTTCTAAATCTGGTGAAAATTACTTCATTAGTGTCAAATGTACGCATTAGTGATTGTGGTTAATGATGCATTACATTTATTGTTCTTAGATACCCAATATTTTATTTGTAAGTAGCTTGTATTTTCTTTGTGTAGACTTGGTTCACTCAATTACCACCAGTTCTCTTGTTTGAGCTATCCAGATTTCAGTTTAACCAGCAACTGGGGCGGCCAGAGAAAATTCACCACAAGTTGGAGTTTCCTGAATTCATATACATGGATAGGTGAGTAAGCTCATTTTCTCCATGCATAGAAATTAATTTTCTTAAATTTCACTCAAATTGTTTTTAAGTCTAAAATATGCATTTTGGTATTCTCCACACCAAAGAATCAAATTAACCCATCTTAGCTCAGTATCTCGGGCTTTTACAGGGGACAAATGAAGAGATTAAGTTTGAAAAATTAAGTGATGTATCCCCCTCAGTTTACTTCCAAAATAAAATTATAACTGAAATATTGAGATTTGAAGTTTTCTCTTGATGTAAGTTTTATTAACATTTATTTTGGATGAAGTCATTAAATAGAAATCAAAACTGCTTGCATTAATGGAAATCATTAAGTTTCTTACCTGTGTAGATACAACTTGGTCAGTTGGCAAAACTAAGCCACATATCTGTAATTTTTGTACTCATTTGCAGCTCAAGTAGTTTACATAGTGAATTTTTTGAATTTGGTGATGTGAAGAACTGTAAAAAATTCAGCTATCCACTTGTTTTGTTTTACACTTTACAAGTTTCTCAAGTTAACAAAATTGTAAATGTATCATCTGAAATCTGTAATTATTTTTTTTTTGCAGTTTATTTTTGTTAGATCTAAATTCCCTGTATAGCTACATTACAATTTAAAGCTGAAAATTTTCTTGCGATATTTTGAGGTGCATGAAGGCTATGTGGGGGTATTTCTATTATAAATTAATAATGGTCTTCTATTATTTGTAAGCCATGGTAAGGTATTAAATTAACTTAATGAGTTTTTCCTGTATTTTACTAAAGTAATTGCTTTGGATGTTAATTTTCTGTTTACAAGAACCAGCGAGTTTTGTAAATGAAGGCCATCATTTGTATATAGAATTGTATCTTGCCTTCGGGCAAAGTTAGACATGACATCTTTTTTTTTTGAACACGTTACATAAATTAGTTAAATGAGAACATAGATAAGTTTTATATATAAAACAGTGAGATAAATACTATTTATTTTTATTAGTTTTGATGCTTTAAATGATTTTTTTTATTGCGAAAACTGGCTTTCAGGTCAAAGATTATGTGGGTCTTGTAACGATGTAATAAACAGCTGTGTTACATAGTGGTTTTTATTGTATTATAAAAAAAAATTATATTTTAAAAGATCCCAAAACTGGCTTTCAGGTCAAAGATTATGTGGGTCATGTAACGATGTAATAAATAGCTGTGTTACATAGTGGTTTTTATTGTATTATAAAAAAATAAATTATATTTTAAAAGATCCCATAATCGTCATGCCATGTGTTTCAAGTGTCTGTGTTTCATATATGATAACTTTTATGAATTATTAGTTTTTGTAAATGCAAGGGCAGGGGTGGCATTATACCAGTCAATGGGCTTTAAACTGTTAAACTAGCATTTAGGCATTCAAATACTATATTTTTTTGGAAGTGATATAATTTTGAATATTTATCATTTCCAGCATTTTTTAATGTATTGCTGAATCAGATTATCTTGCTTATGAGGTAGCATAAAAAAGGTTACCACTGCTGTAAGATATGAACATTGTATAGTATAGAAAAAACAACATAATTAGGAAATACTTTTGTATCTACACCTAGGGTGAAATTCCTTGAATTCTGTCCGTGATATGAATACAACCCTTGGTCTAGCATTTACACATGGTGAACGTGCATCTGTATATTGAGTTTAATAACTGTACATATAACACATAGAAGCCAATAAAACATGGAGTAATAAATAAACAAATGACACATACTTTCATATACAGTTGAATTAGTGAGATTACCTTATCAAAATACAATGTCTGGCATACTTTGAGCTTTATATCTATAAAACTGCCCAAAGGACAGTATCCAGCTGAATTATTACAGAAATAGGACCTACAAAAGAACTTAACTGCTAAACAGTCTAGATTTCATGCTTGAATGATGTATTGATGCTGACTGAAGAATCAAAGGTAGAAATGTATCTGTTATCAATGCAGTTGTTTTTGTTCTTTTTGGACTCACACAACAATGCTTCAACCATTATGATGTATGCATTAAAACAGTCAGAAGCTGGCACATGGGCTGACAAAAAAAAACAACAACAACAATGGTTCCAGTTGTTTAATTATTGAGGATTAACCTTGAGAATAACAATTATTCTGAATAGCTTTTCAAGAAATAATGTTAAAGGATTGCTGGTGATTTCAGGTATATGGAGTATAATAAAAATATCATAAGGTCCAAGAGAGAAGAGGTATGGAAGTTGAAAGAAGAGCGTCAGAAGTTACAGAAAAATTTAGAAAAGTAAGGTTAATAGTATATAGTTTCATTCAATGATGATGTTCAGATTCAAAATGTATGTTATTATCGTTCAACCGGACAAATAAAAATTAGTAATCGTGTATATTACTTCTTTATTATCTTGTGAAAAGAATGTTACCATTTAGAATTGTGTTGTATTATTTGAGTAATTCATATTATCATATTATTTTGAATATTTTAAAATTTATCTGACTTGATTAGGTAGAATAATTTATTTTAGATAATAATTATTTGTTATTGTTCCAGTTATCATAGAAAACTGGTGTCAGCGTTTTTAGTTAACCCACTGTTAAACCAAAATGTTGATCAGAACTTCATAGTTAAGTGATGAAACGGTGTTTTAATCGTACTTTTAATTGGACTCTTGGAATACTCTTTCAATTAAACTTTCTAAATTAAATAACTGGAACAGTTTATTGACCATATATTTTAATTTAATTGTTGGGATGCTGCTTTGACCAGACTTTCTGATCTAGTCCTCAGAATGATGTTTTGACCAGACATTCTAATTTGAGAATTTTCTAATTAATCTTTGTTCACTAACACTAATTGAAAAAACACCAAAGTTTAATCTTTAAAGAATTTTTGTTATGGGTCTCATTTCTGGAGATATTTTATATGTAATTACAACTTTGAAAATCACAACTTTCTAAATATACATGTTGTGAGAATGTTCACACACATGGAGTGTAATTACCTGAGTATTATTAAATTGATTAAAAATATAAAATTAATTCAGAATACTGTAAAATCATAATATACACATCACAGTAGAGTAAACAGCCAGAATCTTGTTATAGTTTTCATCTTATTTTGTGCGTGTATACTTCCTTTTGGTTACTTTTCACTGGAACAAGTAAGGATTAATTTGATTATAGATAATAAAATTACAATAAAGAATGCCAGGTATAACATCACACAAAAAAAGTGACAATGTCATATTAGTCTTGGAGAAATGTTGGTTTCTACAGTTGTAGAAAATTGTTTTTTTTTTTACGAGCAGAACATATTTTTGTAAAATTTGCCATAACACTGAATTAAATTTTTAAATTGTCATTAAACCAGTTGAATAAGACATTTTGAGACTTTTATTAATATCAAGCTTGAAGAAAAAAAAATTACATAGGGTTAATTTTAATAATATTGTTTATATGTAATTATTTTTGGTTAATAAAATAGAACATTAAGTGACCTGATACTTCAATGAAGTAAGTATTGAAAACATTGAAATATTTCAATTAAAACAGGAATGACAGCTTTTAATTTTTCCTTTAACTTGTACAAGTATCACTCTTTAGGTATTTGAATTATGGGTCAGGACCTAAACGTGTTCCTCTACAAGATGTTCTGCAGTATACTCTTGAGTTTGTGGAGAGCAAGTCAGATAATTTTCCTCATACATCTGAAGATGTTGTTATGACTTCTCCATCATCAGCATCCAGGTAGTGATGATAACAATCCTCAAAGTATTTCATGTTTTTAGTAAAGTTGAAAATGCAGAACTTGAAAATAATTCATTATAAAAATTTTATTTAGTCATTCACTCTGATTAGTTGCTTTGGATCCCTGTACAATTTCAACCTAATGGTAATGTGTTAAATACACTGCATTATTCAGATGCTGCAAACAGTGGAATGCTAGAGAAGCTTAAATGTCAGGGTAATTCCTTAAAGACTCAACAGATGATATGAAACCAAATATGTTGGATTGCTTCCAACTCAATAAGTTTTTGCCAGTATACTGAAGAGTTGGAACAATGTTTCTGTCAGGCATTCTATTTTAATTGTTTGAACAATGTTTTTACCAGGTTCTAATATAAATGTAATTTAATTCTTGGAACAATATTTTGACCAGACTGTCTACTTTAATTGTTAGAATAACATTTTGACCAGACTATCTAATTTAATTGTTCAAACAATATTTTGACAAGACTTTGTACTTTAATTATTAGGACAATGTTTTGATCAGACTATCTAATTTAATTGTTCGAACAATGTTTTGACTAGACTTTGTACTTTAATTATTAGGACAATGTTTTGATCAGAATATTTAATTTAATTTTAAAATAATGTTTTAGCCAGGCGTTGAAACGGAATTACTGGGACAATGTTTAGATCAAGCATTCTAATTTAACTGGTGGAACAATGCTTTGATTAGTTATACATTTCTAGTAAAACATGATTGAAATCTTAAGTTAAAATATTATTCAATCCTAACCAATGAACCATATGAAATATTTCTTATAGTTCAATTGAAACTTAACCAAAAACTAATGACACTGTTTAGAAATTTCACATAAACCACTCTGCTTTTTTCTTGTGTTTAATGTAGCATTTGTTTGAGGTTCTTATTTCTTATTGTCTTTTTTTTATAACCCAGTAATAAACCATTTTAGTATCACACACAACCTTGTACTATAAATACTTTAACTGAAAATAATATTTGGCTTGTTGAATAGGAACCCCTTATTATCAGTTCTTCTTTTATACTTTTCATTCAATTTCAAAGAATCTAAACTTGGCATTCAAATAAAGAAAAGAAATATTCATTAAGTTTTACAATACTTGTATTTGGATCTAAGTTAACATGTTATCCTTAAGTTTACTCCAAGAAATTTGGAACTGTTCAGTATCTGTGCTGTATTATGTTAAACCACAGGAGTTAGTGTAAACATTAAAACCTAATGTCATGTTGTATAAAAAGTAATGCATAGCCTGTGTTTCTCTGATTCAGTGTAATTGGTGACTCGCCAAGCACCTCTCCTACAAAAAATGATGCTACTTGGAACAGTCCTACAGGGCAAAGTAAGCTTGACCAAGCTTTTCAAAGTGGCCTTTCCCCAACCCCAAGACATGTATCAGATGTTGAGCTTTCAGTCCTTCAGCAGTGTTTGAAACGATGGAGAACTGAGGTTGAAAATGATGTACGAGGTAATTTAAAGTTGCGACTGTTTTGAGAACCATTAATTTTATATTGAGTAAAAACAAAAAAAAAGTTGGGTCGAAAGATTTTTTTTTCTAACGGAGCCACAGTATTTGTTGTATGGAAGCTGGAGTAAATTTAACTACTTTATTATAGGTAGCATTAGATATATTTTTTCTAAGAATTGAATTGGGTGGAACATAAATTTTTCTTTTAAATTAAGGAAGTTGCTGTGTATATGAAGTAAAGTAATATCCATGAGGAACTTGTCATCTATATTAACAGCAATCAGAACAGACAATATAATCTTTAAAAATGAGCTTGTTTCATACGGCAACAGTTGCATTATGGATTTACAAATATATATTATATCCTACATTTGTAGTGAATTCAAAATAATGTATTATAAATAAACTAACTTGAAACCAACAGAGTAACTTTAAAGGTGTAGTATATGTTGATACTTTAAATGACTTCTGACACTGATAGCTGTATTGCATGTTCTGCTATCATTCTATATCATTTAATTACTATTATTGTGAACGGGTTTATACATACTGTTTTTATTGCTTGCAATTTATATATTACACATTGTACTACATAATGCATTAAAATATGTGTGTAGCTTATTGGTTCATTTCTGACATCTTGTTCTACATGTCTAGACATGACAGATAACTCAGTGTTAAGGCAAAAATTGGATGACACTACATTTTAAACTTTGCAGGTAAGATAGAAAAGTTAGGTTAGTTTCATGTAAGATAGTAGTTTTTAGAGTGTTGGAAGCTATACAATTACTTAGAAATTTGCATTATAATTTGGTTTATTTTCACTTTTCTTTATCTTCAGAACTCCAGCAAAAGATTGACAGAATAGATAAAGTCATCAGAGAGATATACAATGAGTCGTCTTTAAAGCAGGTGAGACAACAAATGTGTTAGTAAGTATGGAATATATAGTAGTAAGAAACTATGAAACTAGTAAGCTTTATGGCAGGTGAGTTAATAAATGAATTTATAAGTATGAAATAGACAGATATCAGAGACTTGTACAGCAAGTCAGCTTTACAACAGGTGATACGAATTGTTTAAGTATGGAATAGATAGTTATAAGAAACCACAACTATTAGGTTTTACAGATTGTATAATACTAAATGATCAATAAGTATGGAATAGATAGTTATAAGAAACCACAACTATTAGGTTTTACAGATTGTATAATACTAAATGATCAATAAGTATGGAATAGATAGTTATAAGAAACCACAACTATTAGGTTTTACAGAATGTATAATACTAAATGATTAATAAGTATGGAATTGTGAAGTTTATACTGGAGACATATATATATATTAATATTTATGTCAAATAAGAAATGTGTTGGTAACTATGGGATTACTTGTCAATATAAGAAATCAGAATACAATGGGTGAATTAGTAAAAGGTTCAGTTAATGTTTTATATGTTAACTTTGTGAATATTCTGTTGTGATTTATATAAGCTTCATGTGCTTTATTATAGTAGTTTTACTTATGAAGATTTGATTATATTTTTTATCTTCTCTCTTGCTTCTGTAAAAGCTTCTTGTGATATTTGTTTTTACTTTTATTTTATGGGCTCTTTAAAGACTATTATGTATTAAGTATTGTCTCTTCCTCTATGAGGTATCCCAAAAATTTTGTTATTGTATTGTATCTAATGTTTTTTCTTGTTATTAGGTTTGTTAAAGGATTCAGTTCAATGAATACACAGTGCTATTTTTGTTGCTATTAGGTTCCTTACAGACTCCATGCTGTGCTTGTTCACGAAGGTCAAGCAGCTTCAGGCCACTATTGGGCATACATTTTCTGTCCAGAACGTAGAATGTGGCTGAAATACAATGATGTAACTGTGTCTGAAGCATCATGGGCAGAGTTAATAAAAGATTCAGTGGGTGGTCTTCACCATGCTTCTGCATATTGCCTGTTATATGTGGATAGTAAACGAGAAGAGTTATTTACTGGTGAGACATGAATTTAATAATGTAGGTAGCTTAATGGATTAATATGTCCTGTAATATTTGTGTGAAATAACACATTAACTCATTTTCATTTTGTAAAGAGTGTAACTTGCCTAATGCTAAATTTGTGTGTCTTTGTGTCACAGGATAAAAATAATAAGTTTGAAATATTTAAAATACTTTAAAGTAACCTACAGTGAAGACAGAAGCTTGTATGAATTCAAAACTTACATAAAGTGTGAAAACTAATTTACAAGGACATACATAATTATGGTAGCTACCTAAGTCTAGATCTTGCCTCATGATTTTAATATGTAACCATAGTAGTAACTACCTAAGACCTTAGATCTCACTTCTTGATCTTAATACATAATGTCAATAGCTAGCTAAGTCTCTAGATGTTGCTTCTTGTTTTGAGTAGAAAATCTTTAGGTCTTACTTCTTGACCTTAACACATTACCAAAGTTACTGTCTAAGCCTAAAGGTCTTGCTTCTTGATTTTAGTAAGTAATCATTGTAACTAAATCTCTAGTTCTTCTGAGTCTCTAGATCTTAGTTGTTGATCTTAAAATGTAATCATAGTAGCTATCTGAGTCTCTAGATCTTACTCGTTGATCTTAACATGTAATCATAATAGCTATCTGAGTCTCTAGATCTTACTTGTTGATCTCAAAATGTAATCATAGTAGCTATCTGAGTCTCTAGATCTTACTCGTTGATCTTAACATGTAATCATAGTAGCTATCTGAGTCTCTAGATCTTACTCGTTGATCTTAACATGTAATCATAGTAGCTATCTGAGTCTAGATCTTACTTGTTGATCTTAACATGTAATCATAGTAGCTATCTGAGTCTAGATCTTACTCGTTGAT